ATACGTGACAAAAGTTATAAGTTGTATGACATGATCTCTAACTTCATCCTGTTTTTCTCATTAGACTAGGAGCTTTGCTCCCCCCTCCCCTCGGGGGGAGGGGCCATTGGCCTATAAAGTTCTATATGACTTTTTCCTACTGTTAATTGTGTGCCGTACACAATTACCAAGTAGTATAGGCCTTATATTTTATTTTAATGAAAAACAAGTAAGTTAAAGAATACGTGACGAAAGTTATAAGCTGTATGACATGATCTCTAACTTCATCCTGTTTTTCTAATTAGATAAAATAAAATGAGCTGCTGGGAGCATCGCTTTTAGCTAAAGGTCTAAATGCGGGATAAAAGTCGAAATAAAAGCGAATGCTGGAAATGTTGTTATATTATATTGCTCGTTTTTTTTTATCATTATTATTACTATCATTATTGCGAAAGTAAAAAATCCCCTAAAAAAAGTCTGAGGGTGCCCGGAGCACAGAGACATGTTGTGGAGATTGTACAAAAGAAACCATGTACATCTGACAAGCATCTGAGATTAGCATTAAAGAATATTATCGTTTGTAAGGCAAACAGTACTTGACCATCTTGTTTTCTCTTTCAAGTAATTCAGTAGTAGGTTTGAGTATTACAGCTCTCAAACTATCTTCGACTAAAAGATGGTAACAACAATTGTTACGATGGGACTGAGACTCATGTCAATTGAGTAGATGACAAATTAAGAAACATAGTTTAGTGTGATGGCTCAGGATTCACAATGCGGTATGTAACGATGGGACTGCCTGAGTGATAAGTAAGAAATCACTGATAAGAGGTGCACGTACATTGATGATATATATGCATGTATATATATCTTATTATTATTTTGACTCTCTTTAACAAAGCAATGTTCTCATGCTATCCACTCTTCCATTGTTGAGATACACTCTTTCCGGAAATTATTGGTCCAAAAATACAAAATTATTTGGTGCAAAAATGGAATGCACCAAAAAAGATGAATTAAGCAGAGAAATGGTAAAAAATTGCACCAAATTTTATCTTTATTTTTGCACTATGCCATTCACCAGTGTACGAGGGAATTGTCGAGGGAATTGCATCGAGGGAATTGAGCCACGCCATATACGGTTCCGATTGTTATTCAGCATCTATTTTTTAATTATTTACTAAAATAGAGAGGGTGTCTTCGAGTTTAAATTGCAAAGGTTTGCAAAAAAATATTGTACGCGGCGAATTAAATTCCAATATTTGTTTTGCAAATTTCATGGTGGAGGCCATTTAGTGAGCATTTGAAGCCAAAAGTTAGAGATTCCCTGATTTTTGACTTCAAATGCTCACTACATTTCTAGTAAAAATTGGGCTTATTTTTCCCACTTCAAAACAGAATTTATGATATCCAGTAGCCTCTTCTTCATACTTACTTAATAAAATAAGCCTTGGATAGTCAAGTTTATTAAGGTCTATTTCCTCTAAATTTCTTAGTATCAATGTTTTCAACTTATAATATTCATAACTGTGTCTGAGTTTTATTCTTATGTTTGATTGGGTTTTACAAATAATTATTTTTTTAGTCATCTTGAAATTATCATAACTCGACACCCTCTCTAATACTCTGCCCATTTTTATTTTTTTTGTTAATGATTTGTTTAATTTTGGCTATATAAAATAAGCTTTTTAAAGTATGGTCGTTTAGTATATTCCTTTTTGTAACTAGGGTTCTTATTTTAGAAATTTTGTCAATTCGCAATCGAATAAATTACTATGAAAAGTAATTTTTCTTTCAATTCCCTCGATGCAATTCCCTCGTACGCTGGTGAATGGTATTATTCGTAAAAATGTGTGTTAACAAGGTCATTATGGTTATTTTCTCTCTCTTATCACAACGATCGTCTCCCTATTTTAAGTTGATGAATAATTGAAACACAGATGATAGAAGATTGCTACTTTTGGTCTAAGGTATTTAAAGTCAGATAGCAAGCTCTCTATTATGCTCAATGATAAACAAAAATTATATACACTTTTTCCTACTATAAAGCTTCAAGCATTAACTTGGCCCAAGTGTGTATATTCAACTTTGAAAATCTAATAAGATCCGAATAATTCATGATAATATTGCCCAAAGGTATTATAATTAATAAAATACACATTCGTAATTCGATAAGTATATAATCGAGCGCATATGTGAGGTGTGTCTTTTAATTTTGGTTGAAAAGTTGTAGTACTAGTTTAGCAGGTTGCCGACTCTTATTACGAAGAAGGTATTCCTCAATCACATCACATATTCATGGCTTTCATCACCCAGAAATAGAAAGAGTGTGACTGTGTGAAATGACTTGGAGGACTAAAATTGAATGCAGACAGCATAAATTGACAAATGTAAAAAAAAAAAGAAGAATATTTGTGATTTATTAATAAGCAATAATCAAACATGTCAACTGAACCAGTAATTCCACATTCTCAAGATCTTGAATCGCTTGTCTATCTAGAGACAATGTAATTAGCCTTATTTCTCTATTTCTACTGATATTAAATAAATAAATAAATAAAACTAATTTAGACATTCTCTAGGTTTCAGGAATGTGGTTACGACGATGGGTTTAGAGATGGTGAGCGTTCTGGCGAGCTAGAAGGAAGAATCTTTGGTTGCGAAAAGGCGTTTGAGCTTGGCAGAGAGATTGGATTCTACGAAGGAGCAATAAAGACGTGGAAGCACCTGGCCGAGTCTCATCCAGACCTTATTTCATCAAAGTAAGTCTACTAAACTTTGATGATATAAAACGAATAGTAGAACAAACAAACAAAAAAATAAACGAAACACGACACATTTATTGACCTTTTAGTGATAATAAAACTCTTGGTATTTTAAAAAAAAATGTGTAAATGTGTTTGTTTTTTCTTCTTCTTTCTTTTTAAGGGCTTTACGACACATGGAGAGATTACAGGAGCAGATTGACACTTTTCCAAATGATAATGATCCCGACACTGATTTGCTTGCAGTGCGTGATAAAATGAAGAATAAGATGCGCGTAATCACATCGCTACTAGGTGTTCAGCAGAAATTCTTACAGGCACCCGTTCCACAGATGAACTACTAGTAAATCACCAAAATCCCGCCCAAGAAAATGAAAAGAAATGGGAAAAGCTTATATATGTATATATAGACATGGGGTATTACTATTATTATTACTATCGCTATAATCATCATCGCCATTTTGTCATTGTCATTGTCACTTTTAGAATAGAAAAAGGATATACATTTTGCTCTTATCCAAAATAGTGGGCAATAGCCCACATCAACAATACAGTGATTACTACACCTCCAAAGAATATCCATTTGTCCTGCGATGTACGACGTTCAATGTACCGGATCACATTTTGAGATAGACCAAGGGTATTGGCAGCGTCCAACAACTTCTTTTGTGTTTTCTATTAGATATTGTTAGATTTAATAGAAAGAGTATGGTTAGTTTTATTACATGATTTTAGCGGCGTCTCGTCTCTTTTCATTTACCTTTAGTATGCTGTGTTGATCTGTCAAGTTCTCTAGAATTGTGTGGGCTTGTGTAATAAAGTCGTCCAGTTGGGATTCTGTTGAATCATTAAAGGATGTATCTCGTGTAGCTGCTTCAAGGCGAGACATTGGCTGGTAAGGGTACTCGGGCTAAACATAAGATAGAAATCTCGTACATATGAATTATTTTCTCTTTCATTATGTCTCTTTATATTTCTCGAAAATCTGGGTTGTGTATTTTTTTTTGGAGTATAGGTGTTTAGATATCTTACAGCAGATGTCTTGTTCGGTCTTCTTGCCAGCAAGCTATCTCGATTCTGTTCATTTTGTTGGTTTTCTTGTTGCCTTTTTATAGTTTCAAATTGAGTCTTCATTTCCCGCAGATCATGTCTGAATTTTGTAACTCGCCTTATTACAAAATATATTAATAATAGTATTTGCAAGTTAGTAAGTTATATATGTATATGTGTAAGTAATACGAATATATACAAAAATTACTATATGTATGCATATAAAATATATTACGTGAGAGCAGTTTCTTTTTTCACAGCCACCATTTCACGTTTGGCAATGTTCTCGTAGTCATCAATTGAACGTTGGAATGAGCTAAATGATACGGATATCTGCCCTATGCACCCACACAAACCAAAATAATAATAATAATAATAGTAATAATAGTAATTGTGGTTATTTTTACTGTTTTTTATCGCTCTTATTTTTATTCTTATGAAATGAGAGAGGACAATAAGACCAATGATATCCTTAGAAGTAGTTTTGGGGTACCTTGTAAACCAACTGATGCATCCTGGCCTGATGCAAACTCTACAATAAAAAATAAAAATAAAATAAGATAAAAGCAACGCATATTTTAGCTGTAAAGCTCGGTTAAAAACCATTTCGCTCTTAACTGTTAATGTCTCTTTGTAGCGCATTGCTTTGCTTTAATGCATGATTGTAAAGGGAATTCATTGTCAAGGCTTGCTTAAAAAAAAAGAAGTCGACCAAGCAATTTGACCTTTGTACTTCAAAATTGATCTCAATAGATATTTTCAGACTCCGATACGTCCACGTGTAAGATAATGAAGGGAGGAAAGAAGGGAGGGTTTACATTGTGGAAATGGATTTTTTTTTTGCCTTTTAAGCGAGATGTGATCATTATACAGCAAAAGAAGTATACTTATATAAAAAAATACAGTTTTCAACCCTATTTTACACTAATATTCAGTGATAATATTTCTTTTAATAACATTCTACTATTTTTTGTTTTGTTTTTACTATTAATACTATCATATTTCTTCATATTTTATTTTGGCTTTCTTAGTGGGCAATTATTTAGTAATTTCCTCTAAAGAGCTTCGTTGTTTCTTGAAAAATGGTGGATATAAACAGCCATGTTCAATAGAACAAAAATGTGATCTTAATTTAAACTGGTTTAATGTAAATGATAGGTAATAGTCCCAGGGTTTATTTCTAATGGGGTTCACTACAACTTTTATCATATAGCTGGTGTAAATATATCGAAAATAATCAGCAAAAGATAAAATAGAAATTAGAGGTCAAAATAAATTTATGTCTACCCACCATGTTTTTTTTTTCATTTCTCTTATACATTTGAATCAAGTAATGCTAAACCTTGCCCCTTCCATGAAGTATGACACAATTCTTAATTAAATTAGCAATAAAATATAATTAGCCAATCAGAATCAGCCGAACTTTTTTTTTTGATCCTCATTTTTATCTTACTTTGGCTAAAATGTAATAGTTTTTATGGGACACGACATTTAATCAAATACATTTTGAGAATGTTAAGATTTCTGGTGTGGGTCCAAATGTCTTCCATTAATTATTCTCACAAATTGAACATATATATATGTGTTTGGTGTGGACTGACGAAAACGCTTAAAAACAGTTCAAATGCTATATATTGGATAAAATTAGTGTTAAGTGTCATATATTCCATCGAAAGAAAATCAGTTATTGGGCACATTTCTTGCAACAAAATTATGATAGTATTCATCCAAGTGGCAATGGAAGAATAATAGCCACTCAAAGTCGTTTGAACTTTTTTTTTAAAAAGTTTGATCCAATAATACGGCCTATATTTTTGAACTTTGCTTGGAATTTTGCTTTGAACTTTTAGTCTGTCCACACCATTTTTTTTTTAAAAAAAAGCTGCTTTTATTGATTAAGAATCTGTTCTTCAAAAATAAGCTATAACTTTTTGAACAAAAATCGATCAAGCTTGCCCAATCAAATTCATTCCAAAAAAAAACAAAGAAAGTCGTTTTTTTTCTTTCTTTGGACTAAAGGCATCTGTCTACAACTAATATGATATGACATGAGTATAAGAGCAATTGTTTCAATAATAAATTTTGAAATAAAAAAAATTAATTCATAAATTATTTTTTATTTTTTATTTTTTTAAAAAAAAAAGAAAGAAAAAGACTACTAAAGCGAGCCACCACTGTGGCTTGTCCTCTACGTCACAAAGGAAAAATTTTAGGATATTAGTGTTCAGCCAACCAACAATAGATCAAATCTTTCTCTTTTTCCACCCGGATTACCAGCTCTCGTCATTTTAACATGTGAGTTTGCCGCCCTGGCATTATTCATATATATATGTGTGTATATATACGTATATACATATATATAGGTGTACGCAAATATAAACAACAATAAGGAGAAAATCAATGCCAACAAAAAACAACAACAACAACAACAACAGCAAAATGCGTATATGTACTGTACATGTATTTGCACCACATTGCTACAATACGAAAAATAAAGGAGAACCGAAAAACCAAAAAAAAAATGTTATAATTTTTTCCTCGAGAAGATAAACACATACAAAAAATATACATTGAACAAAGCCTATTCACACATCTGAATGATAAACTACTACGACTCATCGATCATATTAAAAAAAAGTGCAACAGCAATCCAACCCAACAACAAACACAAAACAAAATTGATTGTACTTGTCAAGAGAATTACGATGATACCGACCTCGCTTAATGTTTTTTGCGACAAATCAACACTTAATTTTTTTTTTTGGTTTCTTGATGACTTCAAAAAAGAGAGGATCATATACATATAACAGTCTAAACTAATTGTATCTATATCTTTTTGTGATTGTTGTTATTGTTTTAGGGTCAGCCTGAGCATCCAAAAGCGTTTGGCCTCTTCCGTCCTCAAGTGCGGTCAGAGAAAGATCTGGCTCGATCCCAATGAGGTCAATGAGATCTCCAACGCCAACTCCCGTAAGTATCAATTATATATGCTTTGTTCTCATAATAATAATAAACTAATTTTTTTGTCAAACTTTTTTAAAAAAAAATGCAGGCGCTAACATCCGTAAGCTCGTCAAGGATGGTCTTATCATCCGCAAGCCCGAGGTTAGCCACTCCCGTTTCCGTGTCCGTGTCCACGCCGCTGCCAAGCGTCTCGGTCGCCACATGGGTTACGGTAAGCGTAAGGGTACTGCCGATGCCCGTATGTCCTCCCAGGTCATCTGGATGCGCCGTATGCGTGTCCTCCGTCGTTTGTTGGCCAAGTACCGCGAGGCCGGTAAGATCGACAAGCACCTCTACCACTCCCTTTACCTCAAGTCCAAGGGTAACGGTTTCAAGAACAAGCGTGTCTTGATGGAGTACATCCACAAGGCCAAGGCTGAGAAGCTTAGAGCCAAGACCCTCAACGAGCAGTCCGAGGCCCTCCGTGCCAAGAACAAGGCTCTCCGTGAGCGTCGCAAGCTTAAGGCTGAGGAGAAGAAGGCTTCCATCGGTGCCGAGCAGTAAAGCAACCAAAATAAAAAATATTTATATTACATATTAAAAAAAAATATAAAGAAAGAAGGAAAGAAAGAAAGAAAGAGTTATTTAATTTTTTTGTAAAGAAAAATTGAAAACACAAAATTGATCTCTTTTATTTAAATTGAAACAACAACAAAAAAAAGAATAATAAAAAAAAAGAATATAAAAAGAATATACTTTTTGTCTATAAGGAAAAGAGGGATCAAATTAGTTTCTTTTTGCTTTATTTTTTTTTTAGTATTCAATCAAGTCTTCTTTATATGTGTTTTTGAAACATAGAAAAAACCAAAAATTCAATCAATCTAAACAACTACAGCAGAATTACAAGAAGTTACAATAAAGTTCCAAGAAGTTCCAAGAAATGACAATAATTCATAATTGTGCCAGTTCTTTCTCTTTTCTTTTTCTTTTTTGGCTGGATGAAATTTTTATGGTGCTGCATTTCCTAAACAGGCAAAGACCGTCGCTGCTTTCTACTCTTTAGCCCTCTCGCATTTCACTCTTGCTCTTCTTTCTTTTTCCTTCTCTCTCTCTCTTTCTCTCTCTCTCTCTCTCTCTCTCTCTTTAACACAATTCTTATTATTATTTTTTAATTTCTTCTATTTGTCTCTCTCTTTCTCTCTCTTTGTTTCTTCTACTTTTTCTTGACATTCAACCTTCATGTCAACTACTCATCCTTCATTCACATCTTTCACGCTTCCAACCAATATCGATTCTCCTGTCAGTCCTTTTTGGACAACTGTAAAGGAAAACGACCAGTTCTATCTTCAACGAACAAAGACTCAGAGAAACGCTCTCTTTCGAAGTGTATTGGGCACCCTCCAGAGTGTGTAAGAAACAACATTGTCTTTCTTTTCTTTTATTTTATTTTATCGTAGTTATAGTTGTAGCTATAGTTGCTTTTGCTGTTTAATAGATTGAGTTTTTCTTTTTCTGGTTCTTATCAACGTAAAATCTGCATGTATCTGTGTGTGCCTTTTCTTTTGTTTGTTTGTTAGTCTTGACACGAAACAAGCACCTTTTCGTATCTTGTATCGTAAGCCCAACGGAGCCTGTCTACAGATTGTTGCCGCAGAAACAGAAAAGCAGGTAGATCTGGCTTGGAATTGGCTACAAGGTAAATAAAATGATAATAATCTTATATATGTATAATTTATTTGTTTGTTTGTTTGTTTGTTAAAATTGTACAAGATATTAATTGATTTCGATTTCGATTTCGATTTCGATTTTAATTTTGATTTTGATTTTAATTTTAATTTTAATCCTTGCAATTGATATTTCCTTGGCAGACAATCTTCTCAATCTATTGACAAACCTTGAAGACACTGAAAAGGAAGTGTTTCTAGTCACCAAGATCAATTCAATTGTCACGCGAAAAGGTCATTATTATTACTATTGTAGTAGTAAATATATATATATATATATATATATAGAAGAAGAAAACACGGGCTTTATTATTATTATTACTATTATTATTATAAAGTGAAATCACAAGAATCCCATTTATATTTATATATGTACATGTGTGCTTATCGTTGATTTGTGTATTCTTTACTCCAATTGGTTAAATAGACGCAGGGACAGACGAAATTTCGGCAGATGAAAAGGTCAGAAACGCATCACGCAGTTTTCGGCAGACCTTTAATGTTCCTGCAACTGAACGACTGGTGAACTGTGAGTTTATTTGATCAATCAATTTTAATATTAAAAAACGATCTTTAATATGCTTATTCGTTCTTTAGACTATTCATGTGCATACCACACCAATCGAATGACCAGTCAAGGATGGCTATATATTAGTGAAAACTATATTGCATTCTATTCGTATATCCTTGGATATGAAACCAAACTATTAATTGAACTCAAAGATTGCCAAGACATCAAAAAAGAGAAATCAAAACGTGGAGTATTTTCAGATGCAATCAAGATTGTCTTGAGTGATAAAACAGAAGTAAGTCAAATAAAAAAAATTCATTTCTTCAATAGTAATATTAACAAAAAAATCTTCTTTTATTTATGTTAGCATTTCTTTTCAAATCTTTTCAAGCGTGACGAGGTAAGTGTATGGATAGTAAGAGAATAACATGTATTGAATCACACGGCTAATGTATATATGTATGTGTGTGTGATAATTCAAGGTATTTGAGATCCTTGTTCAATTGACTGCCTTGGCTATGCAGCGTCTATTGAAGAACACTGCTCTCGAACAATCACCAGGCAGCGAGATTTCAATTGATATCAATAATAGAAATGGTACTATTGACGGAAATCATCACAATCATCAGGATCAACTGCTGGGCACAAAACAAACGGTCTTGGCTCTGTCGGATATCCACAAACTCGTCCAGCCTCTCAAAACCAACCTCGAAGCGCAGAAACGAGACGAGAAGTTTAGAGCACGTTTCCATTTACCAAATACCGAACACCTTATTCACCAAGTGAACGCATCACACCCTGTAGAAGAAGAAAGAGACCCAGAATCAATTGAAACTAACTCAAGGTCTAACAAAGCAGCAGCGATAACCAATAAAAAGAAGAATAAAGAGTCGCCCACTATCACCGCCGATAGCAATAGTAATAATACCAAATCTGATAGTCCTGATGGCCGTGGTAGTCCTGAAAGCACTAAAAGCAGTAATAATGAAACCTCAAAAGACGAAAAGAAAGAGGCCGAAAAACACAAGACGACTACCAAAACTGTACTTTACACCGGACAACTTTCTCTGTCGGAATCCTTCTTGACCTTTAGCTCAACTGAAAAGGGATTATTCTTTGAAACCGTCCTTCCGCTTTATGCAATCCGTCGTGTAGAACGAGTTTCTGACAAAGACCATGTCTTTTCAATCAAACTGGTAAACTGGCATCATGGGACAGTAGTATTTCATTTGAATGTGTAAGTGAGAATTTCTGCTCTTTTTCTCTTTTTTTTTCTTTGATTATTGCTGTTATTTTTCTAACTGTTTGTGTGTGCATTTTGGGGTGGATACTATCTATTCTATTATATTATATTATATTATATTATATTATATTAGCACGAAGCAAGAGTATGATACGTTTTCGACCGAATTGACTACAAATCTGCGACAACAGATCAAATTTATGAAGATGATGAAACAGTTTATGACCACATGTGCTTCTGAAGCCCTGGTGAACAACAAGACGCCTGAAGAATTTGACGCCATTCCTGGTGGTCTTGGACTTTTGTTTGAATTCCCTGGAGATCCCAAGAAACTAAAAGATAGAGCCAAGATGCGCGAATGGAAAAAGATCTTTTTAGGTACAAATAAGAAAGAATATATATATATATATGTGTGTGTGTGTATATATTGTGAAATTTACATGATTTTTTTTTCTGTATTTCTTTTTTGTGTTTACACATCATAACAATAATCATAATCGAATAGAACACGGTCGTAATCTGACGGTGGTAAAAACTCCTAGGTTTGCTAAACTTGTTCGCTTTGGATTACCTAATCGACTCCGAGGTGAATTATGGGAAACATGTTCGGGTGCAATCTACCAACGGTTTATGAACCAAGGGTTGTATGAGAGGCTACTCGAAGAAAACAAGGACAAGAATTCATTGAGTCGTGAAGAAATTGAAAAGGACCTTAATAGGTAATTGAATTGAATTGAATTAATGAGTATAGATAACAAGAGATATATTGTATGCATATATTAACATCTTGAGAATATAATAGATCTCTACCAGAATATTCAGCTTATCAGACCCCTCAAGGCATTGACAGTCTCCGTCGTGTTTTGACTGCTTATTCTTGGAAAGATCCCGAACTAGGCTATTGCCAGGCCATGAATATTGTTACATCCGCTATCTTGATGTAAGTTTTATTTTTATATCTCATAGCAACAGAATTAAAAAAAAAGCCAATTCAATTGAATTAAACTTTTTTTTTTCTATATTATTCTAGATACATGAGTGAAGAACAAGCGTTTTTCACATTGAGTGTACTGTGTGATGAAATGCTTCCAGGTTACTACAGTACATCAATGTATGGTGCTCTACTTGATCAGATCATCTTTGAACTTTTGCTCGAAACCACCATGCCTGTTCTTTTCAATCACTTCAAAAAGGCAGACATTCAACTATCTGTGGCCTGCCTTCCCTGGTTCTTGAGTCTGTACATCAACTCGATGCCATTGATGTATGCATTCAGAGTCCTTGATTGTTTCTTTATGGATGGTCCTAGAATTCTCTTTCAGATAGGGTAAGTTCTCTTTTGATATCTATATTATATATAAAGTTGAAAAATAAACAGAGAAAGCAAATTGGGCCAGATAATCTTATTTTAATAACCATTTTCTGTTTTGTCTTTAAAACATATGTATATGTCTTGCACGTTTATAATAATAATAATAATCATTATCGTAATAATCATAGTCTTGGTAAGTTGATTTATAACACCACAATTATTATCTTTTCTTATTTATTTGAGAGAATATATATTTGTATAAAATGTGCTTATTACATGTTCGTTAACAAATCTAACATACATCGTTTTATATTGCTCATTTATAAACAGCCATTCTAAAGATCAATGGCGATGAATTGATGCAGGCTACTGACGACGGTGCCTTTATCAATATACTAAAGTCTTACTTCAATACCTTGGACGACCCTCTATATCCCGACTCACCTAGTCCAAAAGCTCGTACATTGACTGTAAGTTGCTTATATATACAATTGGAAACTACGATGCAAATATTAATTTTATTTAAAAACCTGTCTACCTCTCTTTGTTTATCTATCTAGAAATTCAATGCATTACTCTTGGTCGCTTACAGAGAATTCAATGGCATCACTGGCGAAAAGATCACCGAACTTCGCCGATCCCACCAACCAAAGGTGGTAGCTGGGATCGGATCCTTCACAAAACGCTCTGCTCTTCGAAACCTAGACCACTCTGGAAACCTGACCAAGGAGGAACAAAGTATAGTCTATGATAAGTTTTACAATGTACTTTACTACAAAAAGGTGACCAATGAACAAAAACAACAACCGCGCTACGACTCGCGTGTGGACCAAGCTTCATTTGAGCTCCTGATGTGTTCGTTTGCCAAATGGGCCAAGCTTTCTTCGGATGATCAGGCATTTGATCAGGAAAGACAAGCCAAGGTGTCTAGCCATTTTATGAATCGCCTGTTTAAGCAATTCGACACCAATAATATGAATAGTTTGAGTCTTCAGGTAAAGATCTATAGATTTGAAAATGACATGACATTTATATGAAATCGATTAAATTCAACTAAACTTAAATTATATTAAATTATATTAAATACCTATATGTCAAAACCAAAACCAAAACCAAAACCAAAATACTTATTATTATTTTTTGGTTTTGTTAGGATGTTATTATCGGTATTGGTTCAATTGTAAAAGGTGATCACAATTCACAAATCAAGCTATTTTTTGATCTTCATGATGTGGATCAAGACGGCTACCTCTCCAAAGAAGAAATCTTGCAGTTTTCGGAAACCTTGCTGTGGTTATTCAGAAATACGTCGGATGAATCCCATCTGAACGCCGTATCTACATTTTTGCACAATGCATTTGAATACTCTGAAACAAAGCAAGAAACTGATGCGATTGAAGATGGAGAAAAGTACTTGTCCGTAGCATCATTAAGGTAAGAAACAGATGTGTAGATTATCATTAATAATTATAATACTTGTGTGTTTGCTGTATATTTAAACTTCTTTTTTTAAAAAAAAAAATATTTAGAATGATTGTATTTGCAAACGAAATACTCGAACAATTCTTCGACCATGAATTTGCTCAAACCATCGAACTTGCTGAAAAACCCGTAGAAAAACAACGTAGCTTTGGAAAGGAGATCTTTGATGGTCTTTTTGCAACAGGCGCGAAATTGGCCGCCAACGGACGTATTCAAATGAGATCAATGGCCATGTCCCCAACTCCTTCAAAAACATCTGCCATTACATCGTCTTCATCTGCAATGAGTACTCCTTCGCTCTCATCTGATCCTGTGATTCCAATCGACAAGCTGGACCCAACCGACAAGTCTTTGGATAAAGATGTCAAAAATTCTGAGAGTCTAAAGAGTGATGACATGGTAGCAATGGCAACTGTGGCCACGGTTGCTGCTGCTGCTACTTCTGTTGTAACAATAGCAGGAACAGAGGAAGAGGATGAGCCGGCTGATATGACAGACTTCATTGAGCCTGCTGTGGAGATTGTGAATGTGACGCAAGATATCGTACCAAAACAAGAGGAAAATGAACTTGTCAAGGATACCACCGAGGTTGTTGTGGAAAAAATTACAGACAATGAATTTGACCAGAAGAAGTTGCCGATCAAATCGGTAGAGCACGAGGAATCCGACAAGGACTTGGGTGTGGATTCCGATGAACAAGATGGTGATGTTGATGACGACGACGAAGAATATAATGAAGATGAAGGGGAAGACGTTATGGAAGAAGTGGATCGTTTGTTAAAGGAATATGGAGACGATTCGGATGATTCTGATGACGGTGCTATCTAGTAATAAGAGCTTGAAAAAAAAACAGTAGGCAAGAGAGAAATCTTTTGTTTGGCTTTAGTCTTCTTCTTTAGCTCTATTACCTTGCACTTGGTTCTTGAAACCAAAGAACAAAACACCAAAACAAAAAAATACCTACTTCTTCTTCATGTTATCTCTTTCTTTCTTTCTTTCTTCCTTTATATATTTATTTTGTTTTTTGTTTTCTTGTTTTTGTTTTCTTTCATTTTATTTTTTCTTATTGTCTTCCTCTATATTGCTATTAACCATCATTAGCATCAACAACAACAACAACAATAATAATAATAATAATAATAATATGCAGTGTAATCAATCATTTTCTATAATCATTTTTACCGGCATGAGCTTCATAGGTAATCGACTATTTCTTTTATTATTATTATTATTATTTCCAATTATTTATTATCTATATATAAAAGAGATAAATAACAGTCTATAATCCAAAGAACAAATTGGATTTTCTTTCTTTGTCAATCTTTTTTTTTGTTATTCAAATATCAGCCAAAGGCTTGACAAAGGCGCCTATCATTTAACTAACTTGTAATTAATTAATATTAGTACCATTAGTACCATTAGCATTTGGTGTTCTGTCAATAATGAATAAGAATAAGAAAGTTGCAAATAAATTCTTTAATTATTCATATTAATATTAATAGTATGGATATTATAATCATAGCAAAATATCAGCTCACTAAACTAAACTAGTTGAATTGAATTGAATTGAATTGAATTAAATTGAATTAAAGAAAGAAAAAGAGGGATTTTCAAATAATAATACTCTTTTTTTTGATAATTGAAAAGAAACAAAAAAAATACATATATACATATAGGATTTAAAGGAACAAGAAGTGGTGGTAGCGAATAGAATGTAGACAGCCAAAAAAAAACCAATTGTTATAATTGTTAATATATTATTACTTTTTTTTTGCTTTTGGTACGCAGTGAAATTACATAGCTGGCTACCTTAACAACAAGGAATGCAAATCAAATTGGATTTCCTTTCAGAAACTGGAAAGAAAATATATTCAATCTTTTTGCTCTTCTTCTTTATCTTTATTTTATTATTTTTCATTATTCATTATTATTATTTTGGGTGTTGACTATATTTGATACCCACATACATTAGACGCACGCTTATACCTTTGTTTTGTTTTATTTTCAACAATAACAGCAGTAACAGCAACAAAAGAAAAGTATATAAAGAACAAAAAGGAGCTTTCACTATATTGAACTCTGTCATGCCGAGTAAATTTGGTTCATTTAGCAGTTGCTTTATAGGTAAATTATTTCTGTGTGTGTGTGTGTGCGAAAAAAAAGCAATCATTTAATTTTGTACGCAATATTTATATATTGTAACTCTTATAGCATTTGCAGTTTTACTTTCAATTATATCAAATGTGCTTGCAATATCAGATACTCTGGCCAGCACAAGTATCAGTAACGTTCAGCCTGCAATTCAAGATAATGGAATAACAGTATCTGAAGACGATGTGGGAAATCTTCCCATGTCTTATCAGAGCCAATACCTTGCCGAACCCAATCAACAATCGAATGAATTGATCCAGTCTGCTTTAATTGGTTCAGAATCACCAAATGTTTCTCCAAGTCCTATAAAAGTCTCTGTAGAACCAATAGTAACAGAAGAAGACAATGAAACAAACACCAGCGCTAGTTCTTTACCTGATCCCAAAGATAGCTCGAAACAAGGCAAGTCCTTTGTAAATCAGCATGCATCCATACATACAGATACACACACATAAAAAACAAATATCGGAAGGTTTTGGCTTTGACTTTGGCTTTGGCTTTGATTGTTATTAATTTATTAATTAAATTTTATTTCTTGGATTTTCAAAAGTCGAAAACACGCCCGTAGAAAGTATTGCGGTTGCTGCTGTCACTGTCGAACAACCTCCGTCGCCTGCCAGACCTCATCCTCCTCTTGTGACCGGATGTAGAACTCAAGGCCAGATTGCAGTGACTTATGTAAGTCAAGAATTCTTGTTCTTCATATTTGTGTCTATGTGTGTGTCTGTGTGTGTGCATTTACATGAAAGAAAGGGGCGGTGGCTATTTAATTAATAACTTCTTTGAAAATGTTAATAGAGCGAGGGACCTAGTGATGCAACAGCAAAGATTGTTCATCAACTTAATGATGCAGGTGCACACGCGAACTTTTTTATCAATGCTACATGGTAAGCAACTTGCTTTTCTTTTCTTTGGCTGTCTGTCTATATGATAAAGTGGAAACAGACCAAGAAATGAAAGACCATCATCATAATTATCGCCACTGATATCGTCTTGTTGGTAGGCTCTACACACAACAATATGCAATGGTGGCTCAGAATATCTACAATGGTGGACACTTTATTGGCATGACATATCGTGTCAAGAATGATGACTCTGCTTCCCTGTCAGAGGATGAGATTCGAAAGGACATTATCAACGATGCTCGGATCATAGAGACCCTTATTCATGTTGCACCCAAATACGTTCGATTACATTATACCCCAAAAAAGGATTTCAAGACAGAGGCCATTCTTGACGATCTTGGATTTATCTTGGTCGGTCACAACCTTGACAGCAAAGATTATCAAAAACGAGCACCAATTGGACCTGATTCGGTCGCGGCTGTATATTCGGAAGCCTTCCACAGCCAAAAGGACACCTATGATGCAAAGGGCTCTTTTATTTCGATCCAGTACGACATTCCCGACACCGGATCGTCTATTGGTGTACCCCACGTCATTGACACAATCAATAAGGAAGGCTACACCATGGTCAGACTCGATGGGTGCTTGAATGATCCAAAGCCATACAAGAAGAGTAAGTTACTCTTGCTTTTACTCTTATTTATATATATATATATAAGAGAAATTATTAGTGAGCGAGTGTTTCATTTCTGCTTGAATCGTATTACTGAGAAAAACAAAAATTTCTTTTCTCCTCTGCCCTTTTATTTTCATTTTCATTTTCATTATAGGTGCAGAAAGCAGAGAATATGTCGCTGACAAGTATGCGTTTAATACGGCTGGTTATTCACAAGGCCAGAAAGACATACCCGAAGAAGTGATCGAGGCTGCCAAGGCAGAGGCCGCAAAATCAAAGATTTCAAAATCACATCGTAGTGATGGTGTCATTGGCTCTCCTCTAAAAGCCCACATTCTTTTAATCATTGGATTTTCCTTGGCTCTCTGGCTCTAGAAGATAGAAAGATATATAACTAACTTTAAATTCTTACCCTCACTCATACTTGAACTTACTATTATTCTTATTATTATTCTTATTCTAAACACAAGCACACCTACTCACCCTCAATCACACCCATTAAATATAAAGGCATAGACACTCGTGTATACTCAGTCACGTACACTCAAGACATGTGTATGTGTGTTTGTGAGGGGTGTATTGAAAGTGGAATTAGTGGTGTGTACACACAAAGATATATAAAGTAAACATATCACACCTCTTTATCTTTCTACTTCTTTAAATATATAGATATCCAGATAAAATATCTTTGTTCGTTTAAAAATAATAAAGTATTTATATATTTGATCTTTTCTTTTATATTAATTGACTAACAAACATACATGTATAACCTACACAATAAAAAGGTGCATATAGAATAATAATCAGGATGATATATCTAGTCTATCATCATTTGTGTATTACATCATAAATATTTCTAATCCAGTTTAAAGCTTAGCTTAGCTTAGCTTAGCTTAGCTTAGCTTAGCTTAGCTTAGCCAGGCAAACAAAACGCAAAGCCGATTTGAGCCAAGTCAATTCATAGATACAAGAATTATTTTTATGGCGTGAAATCTCGCCTTGTGAGTGATCAATATTTTTCTAGTCTTTCACAACATATAATTAATATACAGTTGTATTCTTATTTTCTTTGGTTCAATTTGTTTTACATTTGCAAGATTTCATTTTATAATACGACATATATACAACAATCACAGTCTTTATCAAATCATGATAATAAATAAGAGTGGTAATAATCCTGTGTATATCATTCTTACTAAATAGGTTGGTCTACACAATTTGTACTACAAAAAAATGACATGCATGAAATACCATTATTATCCTTTATTTATTTAATTATTTTTCTTTAAAATTTATAACTTCTTCTTCTTCTTTTATTAAATATTTTATATCAGACTACTCACAAGCAAGCAAGCAAGCAAATATATTTTACCTACATCTTACTACTTTCTTTATATTCTCTTTAAGACATATATACATATTATAAATCACAAACAATGAGCAATTTTGTCGATTATTACACAATTCTTAAAGTGAGTCCAAAAGCAACTCAAGAAGAAATCCGCCAAGGTATGTTATCTTATACCTTTAAATATATTCTTAAAAAAAAGGGGATATGAGAAATAACAAAAAAAAAACATATATAAAAATTAGCCTATAAAAAGGAAGCGTTGATAAGTCATCCAGACAGACTACCAGAAGACGCATCAGAAGAGGACCGACGAGAGGCCACAAGACAATTCCAACTGATAGCAGACGCATATCATACACTGGGCGATAAATCAAGAAGAGCAGCCTATGATCGGGCCAGAGCAAGTCACGGCTCCACACCCTTTGCCACACATGCAACTCCCACGGCTTCCTCAGAAACAGCACACAATATGTTCAGCAGTGCATTTGAAGAGTTATTAAAAGACGAAGGTCAGTTCAACAGGCATGCTTGCTACATGTGTCTTATGCTAGTATTAACGTTTTGTTTTATTTTATGGGGTTTATTAAGTGGAACATCCTACCTATATGTGGCGCATGCTAGGTGCTGGAGCAGGATTGGTTATTGGGTTTATTCTGGCCAATTTTGGTGGAGCTTTGATGGTTAGTTAGTTGATGAAATCACGTATATAATATAATATAATATAATATAATATAATATAATATAATATAATATATACTAATTTATATATTGTACTAGGGTGCTGTGGCTGGAAAGACATTAGGACAGATCAGAGATCGTAAAGGTAACTTATATCTGGAGTGTCGAAAACAAACTCATGTATCTGATCAATTGACCTCTTTGCTGCCTGTTATATAGGTGTCTCTGTCTATACTGCCTTTGAACGCCTCGAGGCTTCCGAAAAGAAAAAGATCCTATCGGCTCTTTTGACTCAGTTCCTCACTCAAGGTGCTGTTGGATCCATGAAATAATGAGCTCATCCAACCCAATCCAATTTAGTATATATATATTGTATTATAAGATAAGATAAAATTGGGAAAAAAATCAAGTATTGATCAAACAAATAAACAAATAAATGTATGTATAAGTAAGTGGTATGGTCCTTTGTTCTTTCTTTTATATATATCATTTGTTTTGTTTTTATGTGCTGATTTGAATTGAATATAAGCGATGATTCGTTATTTGACCGAGGGTTTATATTAAATGGTATTTGGATGATGTTTGTTGGTTTTCATGATAGATATCTTAACTTTAGACCCTCTTCTTCCTTCCTTTGCTTATTTATTTATTTATTTATTTTTGATAGACTAGAATTCAATAATGAATTAATTGCTATGCCTACCATACGTACATACATAGATACGAATGTTATATATGTATATTCTGGACGTGATCATTTAATTCAAATAAATGATTCAATTGTACATATTCTCTTGCGGGTGTATGTGTTTTTTTTGTGCTTTCTGTATTTATGTATTATGCTAAGCATAGATATATGTAATCGTTCTTTTCAAAAACAAAAACAAAAAGCTGTTGCAATCTTTATAAAGATCCCCCATTTTATATATATATAATGATGAATTCCAGGTGTATACATATTTTTAAATGCTTGGTAAATGTAAATGATAAAAAGAAATGAATAAGAAGAAGGAAGAAGTAATATTTGTAAATATAAGTATATCATTATGTGGTATAAAATAAATAATAGATGAGTAAATGAGTAAATGAATGAAGAATAGTTGGATAGCTTTTTTGTACAGTGTAATAAGTATAGATATGAGTATAAATATAAATAAGCAATAAAGAATTAATAATTAATATACAAAAGAATGATAGATAATAAGAATAGTGGTAGGAATAACAGCAGGAATAACACTAATAGTAACAGATATATAAGAGCAAAGAAGAAGACAAAGAAATTACAAGACCGTAATGATTTTGATGTTAATTAGATAATTGTCGTGCCAACAAACATCATCATTATCATCATCATCATTATTTTTGCTGTGCTAGGTGGTGATGTGTGGGAATTCAAACCAATTGCACCCGATGTTTCTGCAATTGCAGTCGAGGATGCTGCAGAGCTAGTCGCACTCGACGAAACCGGCATGTGAGCTGGTCCATAAGATTGGACCCGAATAGATGCTGATGGGTTTGGAGTGGTGCCAACCAGGTTATCTGCAGGTGCCCAGTAAGAGACGTTGGGCCGACTAGGTCGAAAGTTTTTTATGGTTCCTCCATCAGCGATCGTTCCGTTTGTGAATTGGGGTTGCAGAGCATATCCAAGATCCAAAAGAACAGTCCGAAGGTTTGGGCCCAAAGGACCGCTGGAGTATTTTTCTGTCAGGCTGTCAAGTGAGACTCCACGATCGGCATTGTAGACCATCAGGTACTCAGCAGACGACTGATACGAATCTTGGTCGACATGTGTAAATGTCGAACCGCGCATGAATGGAACCAGTGAAGTCTCGAGCCAGAACATGCTTTGGAGAGTCGGCCCATTGCCATCATCATTTTCATGGCGAGTGGAACATATGCTGATATCACGCGAGGTAGTTGCTAGTTGGTACATTGCTTCGGCTGTCTGGCGTTCTGTGGATCCGTACCAGGTGTTGACCATGTCTATCATGCTAGCAAACAAGACATTGGCATCACACCAGCCGTTGAGTACCTTTGTATAGTGTGTAAGGGGTACTTGTTCATTGGGTGAAGATAGTATGGTGGTGTATAGTAGGCGATCGAGAGGAAATTCTACAAATCCCCAGAACGGTTGGGTTCCTACTGACGTCTTGACATTGTCGGCTACAGATTGGAGTTCTGTAGATGGAGTGAGTTTTGCTGGAGTGATGAATTGTGGTAGGTCGTCGACATATGGTGCGAATCGATTGTACATCTCGTCTCCCCAGGAACTGATGAATCCTAGGCCATGGACTAGTTCGTGAATGACTGTGCGTAAGAGATCTGTTTCATTTTGGTGAATTTTTCCAGAATCATTCTAAATATGTTATATAAATTTTTATTTATTTATTTATTTATTTATTTATTTATTTATTTATTGGGAGAGGGTATTGTTTTTTGTTTGTTTGGTGTATGTTATTTGTGTATTAATATATATTTATAAGAATGACAATAATGATAGAAAATATATGTATTTGACAGGTGGTACTTACATAAAAATACCAGGAAATGTCGCTGTTAAACATTGCGTTTATATCGTATGTAGCCCACCGAGGAATTACTGTAAGATTTGTGAATTGTTTAAGCATTGCTTGTGGGTACATTCTGGTCACCCCGTCAGTTGGATCGTTCATTAGATATGATACGGTAGGATAAGCCAATCCTTGATGATGATATTAACAATAATGATTAATATGGAGAACATTGATTATTTTTATTTTTGTATATATTTACCTATGGCTTTCATATCATTGTCCTTTTTACATTCTCCTCGAGTGCTGCAAAACGACAAGAAGCTGGCATTGACCTGGATCGGTGTTTCAAACTTAACGACGGAGGATATGATGTCGGCTGCTTTGTGGAAAGTGGCAGTAGCTTTTTCGCAATGGTCCGAATCGCACTTGATGTCAAGATAGATTCGGTTCTCGAGTGTATTTCGTTGGTATTGTTTTTGGTGTTCTGGGCAATAATCGTAATGGTTTTCGTGTGTGACGGGATTGTGATGAATACAGTGCATTGCACTTACAGTGGCTGTCCATTGACATGCTACAACAATGGTAATTATAAGGTACCAAAAAGTTCCAGCTGCCATTCTTGATTAAGTAATAATGGTAGTTTTAATATTAGTAGTAGTAATAGTAGTAATAGTAATATATAATGAAGAAGAAGAAGAAGAAGAAGAAGAAAAAGAAAGGGGAAGAAAAATAAGAGTGCGAATAAGAGGAAGAAGATTATATATCTATAATGTAATATTAACTATAACTATAATTATAACTATAACTATAATTATATTTTCATACATTTATATATATAATTTTTTTTATTTTTTTTTAATAATTTTTAATATTTTTTTTTTGTAATTATTTCTCCCCCGCCTTTTCCTTTCTACTTTGTATGTCTGTATATAAAAAAAATGTGTATATGTAGTATTGTTGTTATGGCTGTGGTTATGTGTGCACAGAAACTCTTTGGCAAATTTAACCTATCAAGGGAAGGTCCCTTCTCGGCACACGTGACAGGTCCTACACTGACTGGGTTTGAAAAACAAAGGTGCCAAGAATTTTGCCATCGTACGCCAAGCCTTGGGTTTTTTATTTATTTATTTATTTATATTTTAAAAAAAAATTAAATTATAAAACCTTGATTTGTTTTTTATATATATATATGTAATATATGAATATATAAAAGTATAAACGATTATTGCGCTTATTTTTAATAATAAAGAAAAGCTATAATTGCGATTAAAAACAAGATATTCCTCTGTAAAATATCCAATAATTTCACAAAGCATCAAGGTCAAAATCATAAAAATATATATAAAAATAAATAAATAGATAAGAATGATCGACAAGTATTACTTGTTGCTTATTTATATTATAAATTTATAATTTATTTTATTTCCTAAAACAATAGATGTTGTGCAGCCTACAAATCCAAAACAATAAACTGTTTGTTACGAAACAGACACACGCACGCACGCATACATACAAATCATACAGAAAGAGAGAGAAAGACTTGTAGTACAAAGCTTGGCAGATTCACAACAATCAAAAACAAGTAAATAGCCGATAAACTAAAATGTTATATATATATATATAAAAATAAAATAAAGAATCAATTCTCCTAAGAATTAGCACAAAGTTTAAACGTAAATATTATCTAGATAACTACATCTTTAATTTGCTTTAATTTGCTTTAATTTGCTTTGCCTTACTTTTTGTTTTGTTTTTTATAAAAATAAAAAACAAGGTCAATAATATAATACAATGCAGTATATAAATATTGCGATTGAAAATAAATCACATTAGAGTAGAAAGCAAATAGTCAATATATGGTAATCACCACGAGTATAAGTCATATAGTCCTGTTCTCACCATCTCCAGCGCCAGTACCAACGCCAACGCCAAAACCCACACCAACAGAATCAATTTATCTTATTTATTCTCTTTAAGCACAGAACATATAATGCCCTGAATATATTTATATATCAATGTATTCTGCTTGTTTTAAAAGAGAAAGAAATAAAATATGAATTTTCCCAACAAATACATGTAAAATGTAAAATGTGCATACATTAATCTATTGTCTTCTTTTTGTAACCTCATATCTTGGCTCTGGTTCAGTTGCACTAGTTTATTTCCCAAAAATAAAAGGCAATTTCTTTTAAAGAAAATTCTATTTTGTATATTAAGCACAATGCTTGTGTTTTGGTTCTGTTTTTCTTTGCTAAAGACTCTAGAGTTTCTCTTATAGAAGTCAAGAAAACAGAATCAGAACTAGAACTGCAATTGTAATTCTCTACTGAAATCAAATGAGATAGATAGAAATCACAACCACAGGAACTAAAAAACAATGCTTGTTTGTTTATCCTTATTATATGTTAGTGTCACCATTATCACCAACAACAACAACAAAGAGAGAGGGAAAGAGAGACTTTTTATTGTACAAAATATACGAACGGGGTTTTTTTGGTTTCTTGTTTCTCATTCACACGCACATACATACATACACACTTATATATATATATATATATATATACAGCTCTTTATCTTTACATCTTTAGAGGACAATAGAAAGATAGAAAGATATATAGAAATACATATTTGATCCCAATGCCTGTCAAGATTGGACTCCACGTGTCTGTTCTATTGAGGATCCTAACAGTCGCGTTTTCTGCTTTTATTCTTGTCCTTGTCCTTGTCCTTGTCCTTGTTCTTGCTTGAAAAGGTTTAATTCTCCTAAAAAATGTTCAATTCTTTTTTGAAACAAAGAAATTCAACCTTAATATACAGAAATATATTCTTCCTCTTGTGTCAAATAAAACCAACCAATCAACCCAATCAACCAAAAAGGTACTTTAAAGTAATTAAAGTATTTTATATATTAATTAAGCAATTTTACTCATTTTATTTGAATTTATCTAACCTATTTGAATAGCCTCTGTTTTGGTAATTAAAAATGTATTTATTATCTCTGAGATTTCTCTCTAAATAAGATCTTGATCTAATCAATGTCAAAAGAGCAATACCAGCAAAATAATTTAAAGATACAATAAACTAATGGCCGTAGTAGCTTTATCTTTTTTTTCTGCTGTATTTCCTACATATACACTTTTATATCAATTTATACGCGTGTGTATGTATGTACGTACAAGAATCACACTGGGCTGTGCGGGCCGAATTTTAGCGGATCACCCACAAATCAATTATTTTTTTTCCCTATTTCTCTGGAACCAACTCCGGTAATCCGGATCGGACTGTGCATGTGTAACCCACAAAACCTTTATATGGTACATAAGCAAAATTATAGATATATATATATACCTATGCCTACACATGCACATATCCATTTGTCTGTAATATTCATTTGCTTTCTATCTTTCTTTATATATAATGATGGCACAGATCAATCTATTTCTTTATTCTTGGTTTTGTCTTGTATTCTGACACACCTCTTGAAAATAAATTAAGTTTTTTTTTGGTTACCCATGGATACATATTAACCATTTCTTATTTCTTGATATTTTGAATGAATATGTATAAATTCAATGTACATGTGTGAGAGTGTGTGTGTATGTGTGTGTATGTAGATGTTACGCGCGTGTATTTCAAAAATTACTACTAATATCACTACATTCCTTATTGTACATAATTATGATTAGTATTTTACAAAGCATATGTAATAATAATAATAAAAAGAGAGAAACTCAAAAAAAAATAATTGTAAAAGGAATACTATTTCCGCGATGAGCAATGTGTTTAACCGAGAACTCTTGGCATTAAACGTCATTTCTCGCACAAGATCTCCGCCATATATACATACCTACATACATACTTACTTACATATATAGAACATAGATAAAGAGATTGATCAATTGCTTGACGGACACTACATTACACACTACACTACAGACATATACATGTATTACTCTAAAAATGATAATGTAATGACAAAATGAATAACGTCTATTTTTTATTATTTTTATTTTATTTGTTGTGTTGTTGTGTTTTTAAGGTACTCGGATTCTTTCAAGACCAGTGACAAGTTTCGAGTGACCAAATATACTGGATCTCACCAGATTCTCAGCCAACTCTCGGCTATTTTTTATACAATCAGGAACACTCACACCAAGGTAACTAGCTCCTGCCAAGCTAAGCCTTCCTCTGTAGAGATCACTTGTCTGTCTATCCAGTTGTCTGAGCCGAGCCTCGTGGCCTACCCTGTATTGAGGAATACAACTCGACAAAACATTGGCCATCTTATGGGTCGGGTTGGCATCGATCCCAAGGTAGGTCTGAACTCCCTTTTGAGCATATTCCAGTACCTCATCAGGACTGACTTGCCCGACTGACCGGCCGCCAAACGTCTTCTGCCACTGGTGCCCGCCAATCATCACAGTCATCTTGACAGGATCTTCCCCTCCGCCAACAGAGTTTGCCTGGTTTTGTTTTTGATCTTGACCACGCATCGCATTCGAATCAAACACAACCCCAAGTGTACCAGGCACAGGAAGTTTGTAGTCTGAATCTGGGTGTGGAGTCAGGAATCCAAAGCCATCATACGGCAGTTGGACTGTATATGGATCGTACACCAGATTCACTACTCCAACATCCACTCCAGGCGTCTCTTTAAGATGCATTAGTGGAGTCTTGGCCAATACCTTGTCCAATACATTTGCAGGCAAGGTAGAAATTACATGATCTGCAAAGTGTGTTCCCTTGGTAGTCGTTACCTTTATATTCATATTTACACACACATATATATACATATATATTGTTATTTGTTTTATGGTGATGTAATTTGTGGAATTAATGAATAAATACCATAGAATAGAGTATTCACATATGTAGCATATTCTTTTCTTCTCTAGTTTCACCATTACCGATATTGATATTTAACATTACCTTGCACTCATTGTTCGAAGACGTCAGTTCAACCGAGCTGACTTGTTCTCCGGTCACCAATTCAACATTCGGCTGGTTAACTAGCCAATCTCTCAATGACTTCGTCAGGGTCTCGGTGCCATTCTTGAACCCAATCACACTCTGACCGGCCATGTCTTGAATCCAAGTCTTTTGTTGTTCAGTGCTGCCGGGATTCTCGAGACATTCCCTGACCATCTTCTTGTCATTGGCAGTCTGGAGATCCACGCCACCTTTAATCATGCCCTTGACTACACTACCATGGACCTTTTCGTTTTCGCAGAGAACTCGAAAGGTCGATTTGACTGACAGATTCTTGGCGTCCCCTGCATAAACACCGTGCGTAATTGCACCCACCAGATTCAGGGCAACGTGTCTGTTGAACCGGCGCTCGACAAACGAATACAACGACTCGTCTGCATCGACGTCGTGGGCCCAGTCCGCAGATCCAGGTGGTGCATGGAATTCATTGACGATAGACTGAATGACGGATTTGAAAACCGGGGGAGAAGGTTTGAACAAGAGAGAAGGCAACGAAGAAGGTAAGGTGTTGATCTGATCATCGTAGTAGATGTAACGATTCTTTGCCGACGGATCTGTTTTTGGAACACTCATGACCTCTGGTTGAAGATTCAATTGACTAATCTACATGTTTAACAAAACACACAAATAAATGAATAAGAATTGCGATGATCATTTACTTTTAGATTCTCGTTATTTTCTTGCTTTATTCATTACACAGCAGCAATGAATATATAAATAAAATAAATTAGAATTACCATGTCAAGAACAATAGTTCCACCAGGTCCTACTGGCCGAAGACTTCGTGGACCAACTTCCAAAAGAACATCTTCTGGATTTTGGGGAGTGTTGTCATTTGGAGTTGAGAGGTAAGTTCCCGGCGATACTCTTTGACTACGAATCCATCCACCAGCGCGATCGCTGCCTTCAATCAAGACAATCTTTGTTGTTTCTGGAACCAGTCGAGAAAGGTAGAATGCTGCAGAGAGTCCAGAGATACCTCCTCCTAAAACTGCTATTCTTGTTGTCATGACCCTGTATATGATACGTATATGTGGTTGTGTGCTTTATTTGTTTGTTTGCCTTTTTATTTATATATATATTATAAATAAATATATAATAAGTTTTTGCGTATTTGTTACAAGTGTGTGTGTGTATATATATATTGTCAGTTTATTTGTTTCAAGCCAAGAATATAATAAAGAAAAAAAAATGATCAGGCAATTTAAATAACAATTGTTGTATACATATAAAAGATAATGCCAGTTCTCAAGAGGCTATTCAATGTCCGTAAAGAAAGGCCTCTCTCACCCCTTCCCATATTTTGGCTTGTACTGTAAAGAAGAAGCAAATAATAAATAAAAGAGAGGGAGATAGAGATAGTAAGACCTTTTATTTTCCACAAGGCAGTTTCATACTTTATATATAAATATTATATGTGAGTTAAAGAGATGGTTTGGTTGTAATAAGCTATGGTAATTGAGAAGAAGAAATCTACATTATAAAAAGAAATGTATAATATATATATATAAATATAAAATATAAAATATAATATTAAGTAAGAGGGAGAGAAAGAGATTGCTTGAGAAAACTAGGAAATTGCTTTATTTCTGTTTCTATTTCCATTTTATTTGTCTGTGACGCAAACAATCATACTACACTACTTCAACGTCATTAATAAGAAATGCATGCCAAAGAAGAACAAGAGACAGCTGTAATGCACCCACACATTTACATGAAGAAAGAAGAATATTAATTATATATACTTGTTTATTTTCTCAACCAATAAATAAATATATATAATTTTATAATTCTAGATTTGCCAAAGGGAATGGCTATTACATGACATTATGCCGCCAATGTTGCATCGATTGAGAGAACATCTCGAGGTAAGATAATAATAATATAGATATTAAATATGTAGTTACATATGTACTTCTTTAATATATTTAATATAGTAAAGTAAAGCAAAGCATAGTATCTTTATAGTCCCTTTTTCTTTCTTTCTTACTTTGAATTCACTATTTAACTTCTTTAATTAATTAATTAATTAATTAATTAATTTAATCTATCAATTTCTTTCCTTCATTGATTGATTGATTGATTGATATGTTTATACCATTTACTTCAACCAAATCAAATAAAAAGCAGAAATTCATGTAGATCTAAACTGATAAAGAACAATGTTATTCTTTCTTTCCATGCCCTTTGTTTTCTTTTTCTTTTCTTTCTCTATCTCTATCTCTTGATGTAGACGAGTCTGAGTATTCTGTCTAAGCAAAGTAAGGATTCTTTAATAGTAAGAGAAGTAGTTTAATGAATTGAATTGAATTGAATTGAGCTAATGAACAGTTAATTATTATTTTAATTTTTAATCTTTCATATAATATAATATACGCACATATACATACTTATGCATATGTACATGTAGCTAAGATGGATTCTCTACCTCTGACTACATCAAAGTAAAGTACCAAATGATTGAGCATTAGAATCAGTATTAATATTATTAATCATTCTTGTAGAAATGACTCGATAAAGGGCTTGATTACCTTGAGTGGAACACATATCAATACAGCAGTAAGTATATTAAATAAGTACAACACATCGATGCGCATGAATATGGACATGTATTAATTAATTAAATCAATCAAGAATTAAGCATTTAATCTAATATCGTAAATAAAACCCAAAAAGAAACTAAAGTTATCATTGCGATTAGGAATTGCAAATCAAGTTGACTCCTCATCAAGAGACAGCTGTCAAGGCAACCATTGAAGAAACCGCACCTTATTTCTTAGAGCAAGTAAGCAACACATACCCGCGCACAATTAATTAATAGCTAATATGCAAAATGTAATTTGTACAAAAAAAACTTTGATTGCTTTATAGGCACAACAAGGCAGAAATTACATTGGCTTGGCAACAAAACGTGTCAGGACCATGTCAGAGCCCTTGACAAAACAAGCTGCTGTAGAGGTAATAAATAAAGAACGGTGAATATATTTATATGTACTATTAAACTTATCCTTCTTTTTTTTTTAAAAAAAAGCTACTCGATGATTTGTGTAAGCTTATTGATCGTGCCCGGTCTTCATTCGAATATCCTTCAGAAGCAGCCTTGTTTCCTTACAAAGTCTGTCATCCAAAGGTAATATACAAACAAATAGGTTGATATGTTTTTTTTTTACTAAAAACCAAAAGTATAGTATTTTAGCCCGCCATTGAAGCAGGATCTAGTCATTGAATTTTTTATACAAGATGTCTTTATCGTCTGCAATGTCTATTGTCTTGATTACAATACCACGCGCGGAAACAAGTTTAGCTCAGACTCCCCAGTATTCGTGTATCCTTTAATACGCACTAGTATTGCTATTTTATGTTCAAAGCATTATGTACACAGAGAAAGTTTGAATCTATCAGACATTCGTTCTGCGTACACACGCACATCTACATGTATATTATTTACTACTGTTTATTTTGTGTTATTACTATTATCGTTATTAGGACTTACAAGGACAAGAATGCAACAGTTGTAGATCAGGCAAAGACAAAAACTCAGTCTCCAATGTTGACCGAGCTCAAGGCATCACTGCAGTCGATTCGTGGACTCTGTCAGATCTATAAACAAATGTTACTCCAAATTGAAGTCTAACCAAAACCTGAATAAATATATGCACATATTATACACACTGCACACACTGCACACACTGCACACAACATAACATAATATAACATATATTCTTTACATTAACCAAAGTGTATAGCTATACAAAGCACAAAGAGCAAAGCATAATTAAAAGCAAAATAAAGAAGGGAAATATAAAGGTAACATTAAGGGGGTTTCACCACCTTTGATGCTTGACTGTTGGATGTTGCGGTAGTTTAATCTGAAAAATGATTGGCTGTGACGAATATTCAAAAAAAAATGAAAACTGAGCATCTAAGCATCTAAGAAAATGGTTCACCACTGAATGTCCGTGACTTGGCCAAAATTTACAAAAACTTGTACTTTATGTACAATTGATGGAAAAATTCATATAAGAGTAAAAGTCAAAAATAAGACATAATCAATCTATGTAAGAGTGGCTATCTTGATACCAAATCATAAAAGTCTAACTTACTTATGGGGAATTTGGGCAGGGATAATATATTTATGGGTTCTCTAATCAAGTGTATTGTACATATGAATTTTGATGTTATGAAAGAAAACATCTCAACCAAGAGACATTAATGGTATTCAATAGTCTTTTTATAATATTTGCTAATTGGGTGGTGCTTGAACTACCATTACATCCAACAGTCAAGCATCAGAGGTGGTGAAACCCCCTATTACAATCTCTCAAAATCAACTTCGTCCCTGTTGGTGTGGTGAGTATAGCCTTTTTACCCACTTAGACTGACCCAGGATTTGGCTAATTTCATACCAATATCAGAGCCAGCTTTGATGTGTTGCTGTGTACTATACCCGTGTTTTTATTTTCTTTTCAGAATGCACCGGTTGTTTTTTTTTTGTATAAAGCAATAGCGTTAAAGCGATCATTGTGTGAAGTGACAAACAGATTTAAGCGCTCTTTTTCTTGCTGTTTTTTTTATTGATTACAGAAAGGACTAAGCTTACTCATATATTGTTTATTTTCTTTCTCATTAAGCTATAGAATGCCTGGGCTGATGGCAAAAGATAAGTTATTGCTTGGGCGCGCAAACAACCTATACTTCTTTGGGTTGCCTTTGTGCTTCTATTGAGAATCCTTAAGGATTTTCTCCATTTGCTGAAGATGACCTTATTAAATTGAGATGTTAATTTTGAGAAAGGTACACTTTTTTCTTTTTTTTTATTCACCTTTATCACCCAAAAGAAACTAATTGATTCTGGCTGTGGTGGTTATACCACGACCTAACACTGATTCCTTCTTGCTGATGAACCAGGCAAGTTAACAATCTCTGCAACTTCTACGCACCAGGCGCATATACACTACGCACTTATACAGTGTAAGCCAGCCAACCGACCATTAAACAGCAGTGATTCAAATTGTAATATATATAAAACCTATTTTTTGACTCTCTTTAATAATCAACACACTCTTACAGTATCTACTTTTTCTAATATTGAGATACTTTTCCATAAACAATCCCGAATACCTCAGGGCATGTATACCACAAACTGCATAATGTATTTTAAATAGCCGTCTAGTAAGGCGCGGCGGTCCAATAAATAAATAAATAATACCGACAAAAAAGAAAGAAAAAAAAGTATCAATGGTGCTTTTAAGAAATGATATATCTCCTTATTATTATTATTATTAGAGACTTAATGAATCTTAGCTATACACCCTTTATATACCAAGATTTAAAATCCTTAACCAGTTTGTCTGATTGGAATAAGAATTTGTACAAATGGGGTTTGTCTATGTACTTTAACCTTGAACCTAAATGAATTTCTTCAAGGGGAGTATTCAAGTAATCACAATTTTTTTCCCTTTATCTTGATCTTGGGAACTTGAGACGGCGGGTGTATTTGGTGACAATCGCCATTTGGAAGAGAAAAGCAGCGACATTAGGAGATTGAAACTTGTAGAAGGAGAGAGAAAAATAAAAAAAGTAAATAGTAGTTGGCAGTAAAGAGGCCAGCAACTCGACTCTAGACACTATACAGCTTGAAAGCTTTTCCTAATAATAAAGTCTCTTAATAGTCACTTTGCCCCCACTCAAGTACTCTGTTGCAGACACGTGTATTCAAAATTGCAAATGATTGGCTCATGTCAAAATAAAAAAAAGGATGGCGTTACAAAGTGTGTGGCCCAAAGGCCATAACTTGCGCCTTAAAAAAAGAACGCGTCTCAAAATGTGTGGCCCAAAGATTATAACGCGTTTAAAGAAAAGAAACACTCTCACGGTATTATTTTTCTTCTTTGCGCTTTTTCATTAGTTTACTCCAATGTACAGCAACACCAGCAGCAGAAGCAGCAGCAGCAGCACCCAGAAAAAAGTATCTCTCAACGGCTCACTTGTGTTTGGCCCAAAGGCCATTCACAAGCATGTCCCAAAGCTGTTGAGACACACAATTCTGGTTAGATTAGCCAAAACTAATCTAGTCAAAGTTTTTGGTCGAAAGATCAAACAAGTGAGAATGATTGGTAAGTAATGTCTCTATATAATAGTAGATAAACAATATAATATTAATCAATAATATACCTATAGCACCAGACCTGCCCAAGGGGCTTAAGCGACGATTGGAGAAAGAAAATGAGCTGGAGCACAAAGCTACAGCTCATTTCATCAAGCAAAAGAAAATGAGAATAGAAGAAGAAGTACGAAGAAGAAGGGATATAGACCCAAGAGAAGCAGAAAGAAGAAGAAAAGCAGAAAGAAGATATGTAGAAGCAGTAAGAAGAAGAGAAGCAGAAAGAAGAAGAAGAGAAGCAGAAAGAAGAGACGAAGAAAGAAGAAGAGAAGAAGAAAGAAGAAGAGAAGAAGAAAGAAGAAGAGAGATAGAAAGAAGAAGAGATGAAGAAGATGATGATTATGAAGAAGAAAGTGATGAAGAAGAAGAAAGTGATGAAGAAGAAGAAAGTGATGATGAAGAAGAAGAAAGTGAAGAAGAAGAAAGTGAAGAAGAAGAAGAAAGTGAAGAAGAAGATGAAGAAGAAGAAGATGATGATGAAGATGAAGAAGAAGAAGATGATGATGATGAAGATGAAGAAGAAGATGAAGATGAAGAAGATGAAGATGAAGAAGAAGAAGATCGTGATGATGACGGAGAAGAAGATGATGAAGAAGAAGAAGATAATGAAGAAGAAAAAGAAGAAGAAGAAGACGAGGATGACGGTGATTATGAAGAAGACGATGATGATAATGAAGAAGATGAAGAAGAAGATGAAGACGAAGAAGATGATGATGATGAAGATGAAGATGAAGAAGAAGAAGAAGAAGATGGTGATGATGACGGAGAAGAAGATGATGAAGAAGAAGAAGATGGTGATGATGACGAAGAAGATAATGAAGAAGAAAAAGAAGAAGACGAGGATGACGGTGATTATGAAGAAGACGATGATGATAATGAAGAAGATGAAGAAGATGAAGACGAAGAAGATGATGATGATGATGATGATGATTATGAAGAAGAAGATGAAGAAGAAGAATATAGTGAAGATGAAGAATATGAAGATGATTATGAAGAATAAGGCGAAGAGTTGGCAACAGGAAGCAACAGAAGCAACATACTAACATACTAACAAGCAACAGACACTAACAAGCAACGGGAACTAACAAGCAACGGGAACTAACCTTACTCACAACTAACTACAAACAATTAACTTTTTGAACAACTAACATTATGAACAACTAACTTTACTAACAACTAACTTTACTAGCACAATCCGGATCAGAGTCATAGCTAGAGTTAGAATTAGAGTCATAGCTAAAGCTAGAATAAGAGTTATAGCTAGAGTTACAATTAGTTATAAGCATAGCCAAAAAAAATCAACTCTTATATATTTTAACCAAAATGTGTTATTATATATATTAGGAGCTTTGCTCCCCCCTCCCCTCGGGGGGAGGGGCCATTGGCCTATAAAGTTCTATATGAATTTTCCTACTGTTAATTGTGTACGGCACACAATTACCAAGTAGTATAGGCCTTATATTTTATTTTATTAAGAAACAAGTAAGTTAGAGAATACGTGACAAAAGTTATAAGTTGTATGACATGATCTCTAACTTCATCCTGTTTTTCTCATTAGACTAGGAGCTTTGCTCCCCCCTCCCCTCGGGGGGAGGGGCCATTGGCCTATAAAGTTCTATATGACTTTTTCCTACTGTTAATTGTGTGCCGTACACAATTACCAAGTAGTATAGGCCTTATATTTTATTTTATTGAGAAACAAGTAAGTTAAAGAATACGTGACGAAAGTTATAAGCTGTATGACATGATCTCTAACTTCATCCTGTTTTTCTAATTAGATAAAATAAAATGAACTGCTGGGAGCATCGCTTTTAGCTAAAGGTCTAAATGCGGGATAAAAGTCGAAATAAAAGCGACTGTTGGAAATGTTGTTATATTATATTGCTCGTTTTTTTTTATCATTATGATTACTATCATTATTGCGAAAGTAAGAAACCCCTAAAAAAGTCTGAGGGTGCCCGGAGCCCAGAGACATGTTGTGATGATTATACAAAAGAAACCATGTACATCCGACAATCATCTGAGATTAGCATTAAAGAATATTATCATTTGTAAGGCAAATAGTAATTGAACATCTTGTTTTCTCTTTCAAGTAATTCGGTAGTAGGTTTGAGTATTACAGCTCTCAAACTATCTTCGACTAAAAGATGGTAACAACAATCGTTACGATGGGACTGAGACTCAAGTCAATTGAGTAGATGAAATAAATAAAAAAAAACATAATTTAGAGAAATGACACAAGATTCACAATTTGGTACTTAATGATGTTGTCTGAATGATAAGAAAAGAAAACTGACGAGAGGTGTACGTACATTGATAATATATCTTATTATTATTATTATTATTATTTATATGGTCCGTATCGTATTTTACAATAATAATGAAAATGACTTGCTCAGTTATTGGATTATACTCCATAGTAATGAGTCCAGAAATGACCAATGAAGCACAAGAAAAAAGTGAACTTAACAAGCTGATATAACGATGATGATTTTACAGTAAGCCATTAGAA